CATAGTTCTCACCCTCAAGGGGTTTATGGTAAAAGAGAAAAACAAGGAAACACATAATTATAATGCCATGGACAGGTAAGCTCAGGGAGCATTTCCATTGCAATTGTGGTTTCTGGAGGATGGTTGTAGATTGCTTCAGAGATCCCCTTCAATAAAATAAAAACTAAACTAAACACATATTCATTCACTAAGGTTCAAACCAAGTTTTCTCTTAAAAATGGAAGCATGACTATGACTCAAAGCCTCAGTACTGTACAACAGAGTGTGAAGGGAAGCTTTTCCCTCTGTATAATTGGCTTACCCAGGCGTGCTTCTTGAAGAATGGAAAGTCCAAGTGCTCAGGACTTTGAGTGGTTTAGTTTGTTAACCTTATAATGACCAAGAATACTTGACTTAAGGCTCAATAATTGTAGTTGCAAATATGGATTGTCCTCAATTTTTAAGATAAAAACAACTTGCAAATGTATCTGTTTGTAAAAATTGTATATAATTTTACAGCAAGTCTATTTCTTTGAAATGTAAAGAGACAAGAATCAAGTTACATTAGTTTTTCATACCCTTTTGAAATTTGCAACTTCTATAGTTAGGAACCTATTTCTTACAACTTTTCTGACACATTTGTAATTCCTTAACTAATAAGGAATTTAAAGATAAAAAATTAAAAAAAAATAAAATGATGGCTTTGAAAAGCAGGTTATAGTCTAACCATGGTGCTATTTTAGGCTGGCTTGTTAAACACAGCTTTAAGCCTAGTATATCAATAAAGCAAATACTTAATTGTTGTTGTTATATATGTATATATTTTATATTAATTTCAGAGAGGAAGGGAGAAGGGAGAGAGAAAGAGAGAAACATCAAAGATGTGAGAGAATCATTGATTTGCTGCCTCCAATCATTGATTGGAGTCAAACCCACCACCTGGGCATGTGCCCTTGACTGGAATCGAACCTGGGAAGAGTTGTATGACTTCTTCATATATTTTGGAAATTAACCCCTTATCAAATGTACCACTGGTGAATAAGTTCTCCCATATAGTAGGTTCCCTTTTAATTTTGTTGATGTTTTATTTTACTGTGCAGAAGTTTTTTAGTTTGATGTAGTCCCATTTGTTTATTTTTCCCTTTGTTTTTCTTGCCCTAGGAGATGTATCGGTGAAAATACTGTTATGTGAGATGTCTGAGATTTTATTTCCTATGTCTTCTTCTAAGATTTTTATGGTTTCTCAACTTACATTTACGTCTTTTATCCATGTTGAGTTTATTCTGGTGTATGGTGTAAGAAGGTGGTCTAGCTTCATTTTTTTTTAATGTACCTGTCCAATTTTCACACCATTTATTGAAGAGACTGCCTTTACTCCATTGTTTTCTTCTGACTTCTTTGTCAAATATTAATTGACATATGGTGTGGGTTGATTTCTGGGGTCTCTGTTCTGTTCCATTGGTCTATATGCCTGTTACTGTGCCAGTACCAGGCTGTTTTTATTACAATGGCTTTGTAGTATAGTTTGATATCTAGTATTGTGGTCCCTCCAACTTTGTTCTTCTTTCTCAAGATTGCTGTAGCTATTTGGGATCTTTTTAGTTCCATATACACTTTTGGAATATTTATTCTATATCTGTGAGATATTCTGTTGGTATTTTAATAGGAATTGGATTGAATCTGTAGATTGCTTTGAGAAGCATGGACATTTATTGATGTTAATTCTTCCAATCCATGAACATGGTATATGCTTCCATTTGTTTGTATCTTCCTCTATTTCCTTTTTCAATGTTCTATAGTTTTCTGAGTATAGGTCTTTTACCTCTTTGGTGAAGTTTATTCCTAGGTATCTTATTGTTATTTGCAATGGTAAATGGGATTTTTTTTTAGTTTCTCTTTCTGAGATTTCATAATTGGTGTCCAAAAATGCCATTGATTTCTGGATGTTAATTTTGTATCCTGCTACTTTGCCAAATTTATTTATTAAAGCTAGCACTTTTGGGGTGGAGTCTAGAGTTTTCTATGTAAAATATCATGTCATCTGCAAGTAATGACAGTTTGACTTCTTCCTTTTCAATTAGGATGCCTTTTGTTTCTTCTGCTTGTCTGATCACTGTGGCTAGGATTTCCAGTATTATGTTGAATAAGAGTGGTGAAAGCAGACATTTCTGTCTTGTTGCTGATCTTAAGCGAAACACTCTTAGTTTTTGCCCACTGAGTATGATGTTCATTGTAAGTTTGCCATATATGGCCTTTATTATGTTGAGGTATGATCTCTCTATTCCCACATTGCTGAGAGTTTTTATAAATGGGAGCTGGATTTTGTAATAAAAAAAAATCTGCATCTATTAATATGATTGTGTGACTTTTATTCTTCATTTTGTTTATATGATGTATCATGTTTATTGATTTGTAAATATTGAACCAACCTTGCATCCCCAGAATAAATCCCACTTGGTCATAGTGTATGATCATTTTAATGTATTGCTGGATCTGATTTGCTCATATTTTGTTGAGGATTTTAGCATCTGTTCATCAGGTATATTGGCCTGTAATTTTCTTTTTTTGTAGTGTTTTTATCTGGTTTTGGAATTAGGATAATGCTAGATTCGTAAAAAGAGAACTCTCCATGTGAGGGAAACATTGATTGCCTGCCTCTTGTATGTCTCCCACTAGGGATTGAGCCTGTAACCCAGGCATGTGCCCTGACTGGAAATCAAACAAGTGAGCTGTTGGTGCATGGGACTATGCTCAACCAACTGAGCCACACCAGCCAGGGCAGTGTCCTATTTCTTGATGCCTGCATGACATCTTCATTTAAATAGCTAAGAAGCATCTCAAAACTGAGTGCAAAACAAGACTTAATCCCCTTCACCCATTCCTGTCTTCATCTTTACTAAGATTAATCAATCTATTCAATTGTCAAGTAAAGGGCTTAGGGATCATCCTTAAAACCCCCTTTTCCTTTCAGCCCCTGCCATCAACAGATCCTATTAACTGCATCTCCAAAGCATATGCTCAATTAGTCCTTCGTTCTCATCCTCTCCACTCTACCCATATCTATCATTATATCTCAGCTGGACTCCTTCAATAGCCTTTCAGCCAGTCACCCTGCTGCCACTCTTACTCTTTGCCCTCACACCCACCACCGCAGCTCATCTCGTCTTCACCTGCCCATCTTGGAAGGAGGCAGAAGGGTGTGATTTGTGGGCCTGTTAAACTGCAGTATAGAAGACTGATTTGACTTTGTAAAAACAAAAGAAGTTGTGAGGTACAAGACATCTTAGATGAAGTTAAAGACAAATGAAAGGTTTAGGTGATAGCAATGCATATAGTTACTATCCACAATATCCACAGAACTCCTACTTATAAATAAGAAAAATAACCTGATTTAAAAATAAGCAATGACATAAGAAAGTCACATGTGAACTAATGTCTGAAAAGATGCTCAGCTCTGCCAATAATAGAAAAATGCCAATCAAAGAGTAGATACTTGTTTTTGCTCTCCAGATGATCAAAAATTAAGATGGCCCTGGCTGGTATCTGTCAGTGGTTAGAACATTGATCCATGCACTGAAGGGTCACGGGTTCGATTCCTGGTTCAGGGCACATTTCAGGTTCTATCTCTGACCCCTGGTCCTGGCATGTGGAGGAAACCAATTGATGTGTCTCTCTCACATTAATGTCCCCCCCCGCCCCGGCTTCCCTCCCTCCCCTCCTCCCTCTCTCTCCTTTTCCTTTCTTTCTCTGTCTCTAAAAAAGTCAATGGGAAAATTATCTTCAGGTGAGGATTAACAACAACAACAACAACAAAATTAAGATGAATAATATCCACTGTTGCTTAAGATGAGGATGATGTTTTGTATTCTTGAGAGTAGGAATAGAAGTTTGGTATATTTTATTTGGAAGACATTCGGGCAGTATTCCACATCTGGGAATCAGTTCTCCAGAAATGCTAGACTGGATGCATACATGCACACATATTGGAACATAGTTCGGTCATCCCATTGTCATTAATTTAACAAATATTTATTGAGAAACTACCATGTGCCAGGCACTGGGATAGCCAATGGAGATTTTACAGGAAAAAAGTTTCCTAGCCTGTAAAATAAGGATAGTATTTACCTTATTAGACTTGTTGTTCAGATGAAAGAAAATATGCATGTGAAAGCTGTAAGTGTCCGGAATTTTAAAGTACATCTAGCCCTGACTGGGTAGCTCAGTTGGTTAGAGTGTCATCCCAATATGCCAAGATTTTGGGTTCAATCCCTAGTCAGGACACATACAACAATCAACCAATGAATGCATAAATAAGTGGAATAACACATTGATGTTTTTCTCTCTCAAATCAATAAATAAAAAATAAAGTACATCATACTCAGCAATGAAAAGCAACAAATTACTGATACATGCAACAAAATGGATGAAGTTCAAGAGCATTATGTTAAGTGTTTGAGCCAAAAACCTATACATACTGTATAATTCCATTATGTGACAGCCTGGAAAAGACCACACTAGAGGGACATAAATGGCATCGGTGGTTTCTAGGGGCTGTATTTGGGGAGAAGATTGGGACGGGGAACTGTTTTGAGGTGATGGAAATGTTCTGGGTTCTGATTGGTGGTTACACAACTGTATATGTTGGTCAAAACTCACAGAACTGTAAGTACATCTCAGAAGGGCGAATTTTACTGTAAGTTATACATCAACAAATTGACATTTAAGAAATTGAAAAAAAAATGTCCTACAGTATAATGTGTTGCATATATTGCCCTTTGTGGCAGAATCTAATGGACTGAGCACTCAATCAGTAAATAACCAGTCCAAATGTTTGGTTTCTGGGCCGTTTTGTTCATATAGCATGTAACATGATTTTCTGCTAATATAGCATGCTCATCTGCTTGCAGCTTTAAAATGTCTCTAATGGGAAGGATAGGGAGAACTTCCCTTCTAAAAAGTTCAAGGATTGCTCTGCTTCAAGGAACAAGGGAAGCCACCAAAAGAAAGATGATGAGGCAGGTCTGGACTCTCAAATAACCTAGAAGCACAGAAGAAAAAGAGGGTGGGGTGTTCCTGCTTTAGTCGCCAACTGGAGAAGCAGTACAAGCCTATAGGAGTCATGCTGTTATCAGGTGCGATCTTGGTTTGGAGGGAATTTCCAACTCTAGATATTAGTCAGACTTCTGTATTTGAGGATGGCCTAACAGCTTAATAAAAACGCCAGTCAGAAACACCTGAAGGCTAAGTAAGGCTTGCAAGTCTCAGACACAGGCTGGCGCAGACAGGTCAGGACTCTGCCCACGCTCTCCCCGCCTCCCAGCTCCTCTTCCCCACCAGCAGGCGAGCTCCCTTCTTCTCATTGGCCACTGCCCAGCTCTCTCGAGCGCCCACAGGCCCGCTCAGACGCCAGCTTCTATAAAAAGCGGGCAGTGCAGCCCGAGGGCCAGCGACACAGTTTACCTCTAGCAGCGCTACAGTGGAGCAGCGTGGCTCCATCCTATCGGGACCAGGGATACCTTCCTGGATTTGGGAGCGCTGGGCCAGCGTGAGTCGGAGGTAAGATTGCCCAAGAATACTTACATTTTATAAAACAACCTTCCCGTGTGCTTGCTGCTATGAGAAATATACCAAGGGTAAGAAAAAGTCTTAGCCAGAATTGTTTAAAGCGCCATTTTAATTACATTTTTTTGAAGCCTGGGAAGTTTGGGATTTACTAGACTTAATATTAATTGAGTACTTAGTGTAGGTCAGCAACTGTTCTAAGGGTTTTCTATATGATCCTTTTATTGCCTTGAGATTGGTGCTAATTATCCTTTCAATTTTGCAAATAAGGAAATTCATGCACGTTGAAATTATAGCTTGCCTAGATGGATTTGTAGATAGATTTATTACTAGCAATCTGCTCTATTATTTTACATCCCCTTTATTGTTTGCATGCTATAGGACAGTCACCCATACTCTGTGTGGGGAAAAAAAAAAAGTCCATCGTCTTTGAGTGATCGTTAAACAAGAAATGTTTCCAAAGCTTCTCACATTTCTAAAAACAGTCTGAGACTGCATATCTGAGACCACCCCTCAATTGTTAGCCTCAGAGCACCAAATTAGAATTTCCTATGTATAATTAAGTTTATGTTAAGAAATGGTTGAGTCCATTGAAGCTGAAAATTTCTATTTAGATGTCTTGCATCTCATCCATTTATGATCAGAGACTTGTGATGGGCCAGAGCTACCTCCAATCATCTTTAGAATCTCATGGGACATCGGTCAATGGTGGGGTAGAGGGGGATAAGGTGTGCTCTGCGGATATCTAGTGTGTCCTATTTTCTTCTTACTATTTGTACTTACTAGAAAGTCTGTGTCTCCTCTTCCACCTCCCTCATACATAAGTCCATGAATTCCTTGGAGGCAAATTGTCTTCTTTGTTTTTCATCTTTACCACCATACACTAACTGTGGTACTTTATACATGTGAATGAATTGACATTTCATTTCTTTTACCATTAGTAATCATTTGAATCATAGAAAAACCCACATTATTATTATTATTAAGTTTAACTGGTCATTTGGTTTTTAAGCATTGACACAGAGATTGTTTTAGTTGTAGAGATAAATTCACTGATATATTAGAAAGTTTAGGACAAGACTATACTGATAAACGTCAGGCCAGTGATTAGATAAGTGATTTCACGTTCTAGATATTTCCTTACACTGTTTTGTGGTGTGAATAGGTGGTTGAGAAGATGCCAAAGTAGATATCTAGTCCATCTTCTGAGAAAACAGGTTTTAGCTAGATGCCATGAATTTTGTCCTACTTTCTGTGTTTCCAAACATATTTAGGGAAGTCCCTGTGAAATCAGATCCATATGTTGACATTCACATGTTCAAGGACACAGTTTTAAATATGTGTTCTCATATTTGCTAGCTGTGTGTCAACAGGTTAATTTCTCTAAGCTTCAGTTTTCTCATTTATAAAAGTGGTATGATTCCTATCCCTCCCATTACGATTTTTTTGAGAATTAGATGGGATAATATTAATACATGATATGTATAGACGTTTGACAAATGTCAGTTCCCTCACCCACCTCTGGGATTGCTAAGAACGGATGGAAGCTGCTTCACAGGAATTTCTTTCTTTCTTATCTCCATACTCTCTGAACTTATATGTAGAAGTCCTTCAACTTAGTATGTGCCTGATAAACATTTGTTAAACTAAGTTCCAAAGGTATCATAAAGATTGAATTCTGGCCGAAACCGGTTTGGCTCAGTGGATAGAGCGTCGGCCTGCGGACTGAAAGGTCCCGGGTTCGATTCCGGTCAAGGGCATGTACCGGGGGTGCGGGCACATCCCCGGTGGGGGGCGTGCAGGAGGCAGCTGATCGATGTTTCTCTCTCATCGATGTTTCTAACTCTCTATCTCTCTCCCTTCCTCTCTGTAAAAAACCAATAAAATATATTTAAAAAAAAAAAAAAAGATTGAATTCTGGAACAGAAAACTGTATTCCATTGGTTTAGTAGCAGACTATTGTTTATGACCATATGGTTGAAAGCCGTATTTGGTACTTTGTACCCTCTGTCAAGCCAGATGGGTCTCTTGAGGCTGCCTTTTATAAGTGGCCCCAAAATCTTATACAGTATGGGTTAAGAGAAGAGCTTTATGAAAGAAAGACAAAACTCACAAGATCTGTCTAGTCAGAAAGAAAATGCATAAAGTCCTTCATTTGCATCATCCTATAGGAAGATGTTTCAAAGCCAGGACTTTAGCTTAAGAAAACTACCTTGTCCTTACGTTTCTCAGTTAGCCTTCAATTACACGGGCCACGGTCCTTTGGTGGGTATGTGCATGGGCATAGAAGATCAAGATGAAACTCCCCTGCACTACCTACACAGGGCCTTTTAAAGGGTCTGTCCCACTTACCTGGCCTACCTGATTCCTCACTGCTCTCTATTGGTTGGTCATGTATCATCTTTAGCTACTCCTTCCCCCCCTTTTATTTAAGATCTAATTCAAACACATCTTCTTCAATGACACATCTCTGAACATGTACCAAAATAATCTATTCACTGCCACCACTATGCCATCTGTGTTTCCGGTTGCAATGCTCATCTTTCTGAACTGTCACCCTCTCTCTACCAGACTTTCAGTTCCCTGAGGTAGAGACCATGTCTTTAAGAAATCATTTTCCTTTTATTCACTAATGACATCTATGCAGTGCCTGTTATGTGCAGGGACTGTGCTAGATGTTGGAGATACCATGGTGAGTATCAGCGTTTGTGATCTCTGCCCCCATGGAGCTCACAGTCTAGTTGGAAAGGCACACAGAAACAAATACTCACTGAAATAGAGCTATCACTGCACCAGTGACTTGTTATGAATGGGAGGTATATGGTGCATTGACAACCAACACTAACTGGAATTGACTTGGGAAAGTCAGGAAAGGCTTCCATGAGTAAGTGAAGTTTGAGCTGGGCAATTAGAACACAGTGTATCTGGCTTCAAGCCCACACCATCACCACTACACCTGTACTGAGTGGTTATGCCACAGGCTTGTGCCAATGAGTGATGTGAAATACAGTGGAATCAGCAATGTCAATTTAAGTTGTTAAAGATTAATTCCACTAAAACTACAATATGAAATTGGGTAATTAAGAAGAATTAATCATCAAATTAAAACTATCCTATCTAATAAAAGACAAAAGGGTAATTAACCGTACGTACCTCCACTATGCTTCCCATGGGCTAATCAGGGTGATATGCAAATTAACTGTCAACAAAGATGGCGGCCGAATGCTACGCAGCTGAAGCGAGCATGAGGCTTGCTTGCTCCAGTGATGGAGGAAGCCAAGGTTCCCCGTCCGCCGCGGCCCGGCTCTGAGCCCGAAAGCAACAATGTTTCAATTATAAAAGCTAAACAAACCCCAGATATCTGCTTTCAGCCAGCCGGAGCCTCAGAGCTTAGAGCGCCAGTGATGGCAACAGAGTTTCAATTATAGAAGCTGAACAAACCCAGATACCTGCTTTCCGCCGGCAACGGCCTCAGAGCTGGAGCCAAGCCTCGGAGCTGGAGCTGGCTCTCAGCTCCAGTGACAGCTATAGACGGTAAATAAATCCAAGAATTAAAAAAAAAAAGAGGCTGGGAGCTTCAGTCACCCGCCAGCCTGAAAACAGCCCTCAGCCCCTCACCCAGACTGGCGAGGCACACCAGTGG